TACAGTGCTTTATTTTGTAAAGTGCTTCAACTTAGCCAGCTTTTATTTTTTATTTTTTTGTGGCGTACTTTATATCTATAAAAAACCTTCTAGATATTTCCTGGACAAATCAAAGTCAATTTGATGAAAACTTTTTGTTCTATTTCTGTGATAACTTTCGTCCATTCTTTTGATTAGCTTTGCCGTGTTTGCCATGTGGAGGGCGAGCGTTAAGCTTCTTGATCGACCAATCAGACAGCTGTTTCTCAGCAGCGTCCTCCAGATTTCACTCTCAGCTCCTTTGTTCGGAGCTTCAGTCAGAGATTTACTCCTGACTAATCCACCAGGCGGTCAAGGTCAAGTAAAAAGAAAAGAAACTGTAAATCACGGTGGTCATTTTGTGAACAACATATTACCAAACAAACACCTAGTTCTTGTCGGTCGAAACCAGTTTTAAAAGGGATCGGATGGGAGGTTGGAGGGTAAGGGGGGGCAGAAACAGTAGTGCTCCCCCGTAACCGCAGGCAGACACAGACGTCAGTGCCAAACTCCATTACACAAAATGATCATAACTCCAGCAAATTAGCTGGCGTTCCTAAATATGGCAGCAGCAGCGGGAGGGAACACGCGGCTGATGGTTCTCTACAGCGCCACCACTGTGCTGTTTCATAACCAGCCTGTTCTGTCTCTTCCTATTGGATCTGAGTCTGTAGAAAGGTCAAACCGGACCAGGACATACAGGGTTTTTACATTCATTATTTACAGGTTATTAGATAATTGGAAATCCTCCTCTTTGAACAGTTTCTTTACCGTTTCCATAGAGACCACGGAGTTTGTTCCAGAACGTTCCTGAGAACATGTGCTACGCCGTTTTTTTCTTTACATAAAGAAACATGTATTTAACTAAATTATAAAAGAATTTTAAAAAATGTTTTACTGAATAAAAGACTGCAATAACCTGGGGTTGTTTTTGAGGAAGATGTTCTTTGGGTTCTGTGCTTCTCCACTTCTTATATATATATATATATATATATATATATATTTTTTTTTTTTTTTTTTTTAAAAAAAAACCATG